TGGTTTGGTGCATCTCCATGGTAACAGTAGACACGCATTTCTCAGTTACTCTGGCCTCTTTGGAATAGGTAGTGTCCTGGATTGAATTTGCCTCTCCCAAAGAGAGCTTGAAGTCATGGGCCCTGTACAAGGAGCCTGAGTGGCACGATGTTCAGGTGTTTAATCGCTAACCAAAAGGTCTGTGGTTCAAACCCACCAGCTCTTCTGGCAGTCGGCTTCAGGAATGGTTAACTCGAAAACAAAACTAAAACCAAACCCAAACAAAGCACACCAAACCACTGCCATCGAGTCGCTACCAACTCACAATGAGTCACGGGACAGGCAAAACTGCCCCCGTGGGTTTCTGAGACTATGAACTGTTTGAGGGAGTAGAAAGGCCCGTTTTTCTCTCTTGGAGCGGCGGGTGGTTTGGAAGTGCCAACCTTTTGGATCACAGCCCAACAGGTAACCACTATGCTGACGAAAGGTTTCATCCTGTGGGGCTGTTCGACACCACCCTGTAGGGACACTATGAGACAGAATTGGCTCAACGGCCCTCTACCACCACTCCTGTACCTGTGAAGGAATGCCACCCCATTGGACACCCTTTCCTTTTGTTATCAGTTAATTGAGGTCATCATGGGGTAACTGAGCATCGAGCTGAATGAATGGGGTCTTATAAAAGAGGAGAACAGACAGGGGAACCCTGCCACATATACAGGGAGAGACCGTGTGAGATTGCACCCGCAGCCAAGGAATGCCAAGAACTGGCAGGAGCCAGGAGCCCAGGAGAGGAGCCAGGAGCAGGTTCTCCCTCAGAACCCTCAAGAGACAGCAGGGAAATACTCTGGAGGTGGACTTTGAGGCTCCAGAATGGAGAGGGGAGACATGCTGGGCCTTTAAAGCCAACTGTGCTTTGGTACTTTGTTTTGGGAATCTTAGGACATGAAGGATCCCTGGTGGTGTAGTGGTTATTTATTGGGCTACGACCCACAAGGTCAGCAGTTCAAAGCCACCAACCACTCTGATGGAGAAAGACAGGGCTTTCTACTCCCACAAAGAGTTTGCAGTCTTGGAAATCCAAATCCACAGGGGCAGTTCTACTCTGTCTTATAGACTCACTAAGAGTCAGAATTGATGGCTGTGAGTTTTTTTTTAAGGGCTAGGTTCAGAGCTAAATCCCACAATCCATATATTTTATGCAAAAATAAAGATCTGCCCTGGTATAAATGTTGCGCTCTTTCAAAGGCAGGATGGGCTGGTGCTCAAACTACCTGACAGTCCCCCAAACTAGAATTATTTTATTCTCTCTGGTTGGACAACCCCATATTTAGCTAACATGTAGGCGTGATCACTGGGCACTATGGGTGGGAACTTAGTGGATTCCATGATAGCCAATGATGTAGACACCGCTGGTCTCTTAATTTTGCAGGTGAGGCAAGGGAGGACCAGGGAGGTTAAGTGACTGGTCTCGGTTAAAAATAGGGATTTCAATTCAGGTGGGAGCCCTTGTGTGGCGCATACAACTAACTGACTTAGCCGTGAAGTCACTTCTATGGAGTCAATTCTGACCTATAACCACCCTATAGACACTGCCCCTGGGGGTTTCTGAGTCTGTAATTCTTTAGGAGAGTAGAATTCTTTATGAGGAGCAGCTGAGAGATTCAAACTGCTGACCTTGCAGTTAATAGCCCAACGTGCGACCACACCACCCCCGGGGCTCCGATACAGAATGGTTCCAGGTTTGACTCTGCCCTGGGAGACCTCAGAAGAAAGAGCTGGCGATCTACTTCTGGGAATTCAGCCATTGAAAGCCCTGGGAAGCAAAGTTTTGTTCTAATACACCAGGGGCTACCGTGAGTCAGAATCGACTCAACGGCACCTGGTTTTAAGCTCAGCAGGGAGGTTCATTCAGAGACAGGGGTTTGAGGCTGTCGATCTTTATGGGAGCAGATAGCCTCATCGTTCTCCTGAGGAGGGACTGGTGGGTTTGAACAGCTATACTTCTAGCACAGTGCCACCAGTGATCGGTGGGGGTCAGTGGCTTATCCTAGTGATATGGGGTTCTCAGCGTGTAGTACTGCCCCCACAGCATCAACAACCCCTTTGGGAACTTGTCAATTCTCAGGCCCCACCCCAGATTTGCTGAGTCAGAGACTCAAAGAGAATCACTGCCATCGAGCCAATCCTGATTCACAGTGACCCTATAGGACAGGGTAGAACTGCCCCAGTGAGTTTCTAAGATTTTAACTGTTTAAGGAAGTAGAAAGCCTTGTCTTTCTCCCTTGGTGAAGCTGGTGGCTTTGAACTGCTGACCTTGCAGATGGCAGCCCAACATATAACCACTGTGCCACAGGACTAGGGCCCAGCAATCTCATTTTATAAGTCCTCAAGGAGATTCTGAGGGATTCTAGAGTTTGAGAGCCCCTGCTGCCCCGGATGGCATTGGGGGGGGGTGTCGAGCAGCAGGCTGCTACCCATAGGGTGTGTGTGTGGAAGGACTTACAATTGCAGAGACTCTAAAGAGCAGTTCTACTCTGTTACTGCAGGGTCACTCTGTGCTGGTTGGAGTGGACTTGGTGGCAGTGTTTTGTTTGTTTGTGATTTTGACCCTCCACTCAGTCTCACTGAGCCAAGTAGAGAATGTGGGTCCCCGGGGTATGGAATTGGACTCCCTGAGGTCTGGGAGGATCCCTGTGGGCACTTTTTGGGTCTCCTCTGCTGAGGCTCTTGCAAGCCCCAAGTCCCAAGAACAAGTTCCAGTCTTGCCTCTTGGACAGTGATAGGAAAACTCGGTGGCATTACAGTGTGTGGTGGCCATTCACACAAAATGTTCTACCAGGGCAAATAGTCACTTCAGGATCCACGGGCAATGAGTGATTGCTAAATAGGAAGGAGCAGCTGGCATCTTCTTGGACTGGGAGTCTCTGGCCCAACTATCCTTATGGAATGGGTTTAAATTCCTTGGTAATGGCTGGCCACTTCACTGAAGGTCGTTCTGGCAGGCTGCCTGGAGCCCTTGGGCCACCTCTAATTTGTGAATTAATCAACATGGGCTCTGTAGGTAAAGCATGGCTTTCAAGGCATGCAAATCCATTATTACCAGGATCATCCACTTAGCAGTTTGGAAGGGAGAGAATGGCCCTCCCTGCAGGGCAGCCTTGCCCTGCACGCACAGTGTTGGGAGTGGTGGGGATGGCGGTGCTCGCTGGCCTGGGTCAGCTTCTACTTCCCTTCTTCTCAGCTGTAGCCCTTAAGACGCAGCTCTTTCCTATTCTCCACAACCAGATCTTTTTTGAAGAAAATGGGAGGGTACGGAGGCCTCATAGGACCCTCGCGTGGTACCAACATTTAAGCACCCAGTAACTACACAAAAGGTTCTCAGTTCCAAACCATTCAGAGGCATATCTGAAGAATGTTCTGGAGCTGTGCGCCCAAAATTCCATCTACTAAAAACCCCATGGAAGTCTCACGGGACAGCAAGGTCAATTAGCCTAACACAGTCCACAAACACATTGTCCGCAAGTCCTACTTTTGTGAGTTGTGACAGGTGTCTGAAAAGTTCGTGAGTAGCGCCTGAGGGTACAGGTCTTGGTCTCTCTCTGTCGGGAGGAAAGGAGAATGAAGAAATTCAAAGGCACGTGGAAACAAGTAGTGCAATAGATTATCATACTCTATGACCCTGGCACTAGAAGAACTAGATGGTGCCCAACTACCACTACTGAATGGGATCGATAGTATTAGAACGTCCAGCTAGAGGGGAGAAAAATGTGGAGCAAAACTCAAAATCATAAGAGACGATGATCCTTCAGGTCTGGAATGGAGCTCACCCCCATGGCTGAATTTTCAACCAAACAATAGGTAGGTCTATAAGGAGAACAGTCACACCAGTGAGGGGACACACTACAGGGTCATCAACCATTGTAGATCAAAGGGGCAGCATTTCCCCAAGGACAGAGTTAGGGTTAGGAGAGAAGGAGGGATAGAAAACACAGGGAGGAGGTGGGAGGAGTGGAGTTGCATTGAGGGATTGCAATGAGATGAAACATGGGTATGAATTGTTGAACATGAAACCGATGGTCTGCTCTGATAACCCTCCCCCAATTCACCATAGAAAGTTAACAACAAACAAAAATCCAGTGGATCTACTCTGGTTCTACTCTGACAGCCATGAATCAGAATGGGTTCTAAGCAATGGGGGGGTCTTACAGAGAGGAGGAAGCCCCATGTCCACTCACCGCCACCCTTGAATGAGACTGAAGTGGAACGGTCAGCAAATGCTCCCAGAGTCCTTGCGTCTGTACCCACCTTTGACTAGATATCTGTTTTTGCTGCCCCTTCCCATTCCTGCTGTTCGTCTCCTGTCTCAGACCACAAAGCCAAGAGGCCACGCAATACCTTTTCTGAAGCACAGCTACCGGCCCTACCTCTCAGAGCGACGCCCATGAAAACCAAACCAGACGAAAATAGGAAGAAACAGCGTTAGGTGGGATCCATAAACCTCTGAGATTTCCTTTTTGTGACATGGGGTTTGTGGAAGCCATTTCATCAATTGGGATCACTTTTCAGATATTTCCCTGGACGTTATTTGATTAAAAAAAATGTGTACAGTAGAGTGAACAGTTGGGTAGCCCCTGATGGCCTTTTGTGAAACACCTTTGCATCTGTGAGCTCACTGGTCTTCCTGTAACCCCATGACGTGGCCAGGTCAGAGCTTAAAATGCCCGTATTATGAATGAAAAATTGGAGATTCACAAGTTAAGGGACTCATTCAAGGCGGATGGACCTGGACTAGAACGCTCTGTCTCTGACTCACAGTGTAGCTCAACTACAGCAACTCTTCCTTTCTGGATCTGCTGACTGATTGATACACCCACTTTGCTATGGCACAGGGCTATTTCTGTTCTCTCCATAATTAAACTTGCCCCAGTACTAGGATTGGCTTTGTTCTACCACACTCTCGATGGAAAGATGCCGGCGTTCAACAAACACTGTTCCCATGAAAGGACCGGCGCACTTACACTCCTTGGTGTTGGGAGGGGCCAGGAGGCAGGAGTAGCAGACCATGCCGTAGATGTTCCTGGGTCTGTTTTCCAGCATGTAGTAACTACAGGGCGGGCGAGACAAGACAAAACAGAGCACACGTGAGCTGGGCGCCACCACGGGCAACGGAATGGGCTCGACTTACGGACCGAGAACCCATCACGTGATCATTTGGCATGTTCTACCGTCAAAGCATTTAGTCAGGCATGAAACAGGCATGGTAGGGATGGGGAGCCTTGCCAAGCCAGCAGCCTGTTTGGACCATT